TATATATATATATATTTCATTTATTTATATTATATATATATATCGCCGGTCGATAACTCTTTAATGCTCTGTCCCACATTGAGAAGAGAAAATAGCATTTTATACGATGCCCTGAAGAGGGGCCTCCTACTGCGTCCTGCATTCTATTATTGTAAATGGAAATAAATAAAACAAATTATCAAAGACAGATTAATATAATGTCAATATTTCGAGAAATAATTTATTGAACTGAATATAATTTGATTTGTGACGTATTTATATGAACCATAAGTGGAAGACTATTTTAACGTGGTTCCAATATCTATTAGATTTCTTTTCATTTGAACGTTCTTCTTTTGTCGCATTTTCGTGTTATATTCATATAAATGTCTTAACAGCTTTGTATATGGGTTGGGCATTTTCAAATGCATACATAAATTTAACGTATCTGTGAACTGGGTTAAAGGTGCGAAACAATTACAATTGCACAATAAAGCTCCGCTTTTAGCGAAACCACCTCAATTTTGGACTCATAACGTTTCTTTCTTTATAAGATCTTTATCGTACATTGGTTATCACACTTGGTGCGTATAACGCATTTGGCATAATAAATATATTGTTTGTCGTACACTTTTACAAACTTTTTATATTTTTATATATAGACGCAGTCTTTTCCACTCGACTCAATAAATTTTCACCTAAACCCATCACGAGATACTTGTCTTCAACAAACTCAAAAGTTATTAAGTTATTCAAATTTTATCGCGTAACAAATTTTAGAAATTTCGAAATATTTAAAACAAAAGTTTACAGTGCGAATGTCTGAAAGATGCAGCAGCAATATGGCGAAATATTATTCTTAACTCTCTCTATATTTGAAAAAAAGATACAAAAAGATCAGTTTTCTTTTCTTATCAATTGTATGACAGTGTCAGATCTTGTACATTATTCATATATCCTACAAATGTATCCATGAGATATTGCTCACTGCTATCTTTTCACATTAAGTAGGCATATTCCATTATTTCGCTCAGTACGTCATCACATTCTTGTTGTACACAATATATTTTTTAACACTCGAAACGAAAACTGTTCATCAATAAATTACCTTAACGCTTTTTAACGAGTTTTAAGAAAATGGTACAAAAACTCACGCAAAATTATAGCAATGAATAGTATAACGCTTTTAAATTAGCTTGTAGCTAGTTATCAGGATACGCACTAGTAATAGCTAGGAACTTGAAGAAGCTTTACTTCCATTTTTCGCTTTTTTTATTGATATATATTTAATATGCAAAATAGGTTATTCATTCTGAATAACTCTATAGCACGTTATGCCCATTTACAATAAATGGGACAATAGCCTTTTCTTTCTCCGAATTTTTTTTAAAATAGAACTTTTACTTTTTTATACACACAAGATACTAATGCATAATAAGAACACACGTAAAATTTAAGTCTAAAAGAATAGTATTCACTGTGTGCAAAGAGGTAGAAACGACATGTTTGTATGTTGCGCACTCACATGTTTTTGCGCGCGCGCGCGCATGTGTGTGTGTGTGTGTGTGTAAGAGAGGGACAAAAGTATGTATGTGGAATGATAGAGGATACATTTAATTTGAAAATAAGACCGTTCTCTATTTTAGGTCTATTTTGTTGTGTAACAATATAATAATTTTTACATTATAACAGATCTCTCAAAAATAGAAATAAAATAAATCAATGATTGACGTCAGATGCGACTTTCTGTTGACTCGATTTTCGTGTCAACAATTCCCTCCTTTATCGTTCTTATCTTGACAAATGACAGATGCGAGCAAGCGTGCTTTGTCTCAACAGCGGTCACGTCAAAAAAATTTTGATAACAATTTGGCAAAAGATACAATTCAATTATATGTGTACCATATTTCCGAAGTCATGAAACGCTGTAATAACGCATATCCGGCGATTTATTGTCAAGGTACGAGAAGAGTGGATGTTTACACGAAAACTGGATCGAAAGCGACATCTAATGCCGACTATTGAAATAAATCTTTCTACGTAGAAAGCAAATCTGAATTGTCAATTATATTTTAAATTTACACGTTTCAATGTTATTTACAGTCACGTCCTCTTCAATACACTTTGGAGAAAGAAATAGCTCTCACCACTGTGTCACTTTACACTTTGAATTCGTCAGAATCAATGTAAATTTTGTCACGCATCATACGCGACGTTATATACTTGTATTTAGATGCACCTAACTTTCAAAGGCGTTCCAAAATACAATCATGAGAATATCGGCTTTAGAAAGCCGAATGGTAATAGTCATAAGTAGGCCAGTAAGGCTGTAGCCAATCCTAGCTGGTACGTTGACGCTTTTTGGCAGGGTGCTCTTCGGACGAATGAGCTAGGGAAGGCATGACCATATCTCCTCTATTGAACATATACTTGAATTGTGGCATATATTTCATTATACTCCTAATATGGATTAAAGGTAGATCTTCTGTTAATGAAGAACATTTGCCTGCTTCCATTAACATCTTCATTTGCAGTCTGCAAAAGTTTCATTTCTTTTATATAAAATAGATTATTTCATAAAATATAATAAATATCAATTGTAATCATTATCCCATTTATCTATTTATTTATGTTTTTATATTTGTCTATATTTATTTATTTATGTATATATATGTATTTACCTATTTCCTTGATATAATTCTATATGTAGTACATCTGTAAGAACTTGTCTACAACTCTCGATGTCACAGGCAGGGAAAAAATTGGAAACGAAGTCAGGAAGTGTCATCAGCAATTCGCTATATATGTAAGGTTTGAAATTAATACAGGGTACCATCTTTTCTTCAAGTAATGCTTTCTGTATTTGGTATGGTTGTACATGACAAGTAGTAATATGTTGTGGGTCCGATATTGGTATCAGTGGTTTCTTCCCTCGGGTATCCCTAAAAAATAACTTCAACGTAAATTGTACACTGAATCAAACACATTTTATAATACGTTTGAGTATACAAAAAAAAAGAATTAATCTGATGTTTATTCATTTAGCTGACCAATAATAAGTAATAATATATACCTGGAACCGCTACTATTGCCGCTACCACTGCTACCATTAACTGGTATCAGAGGAGGTGGATATTTTGAATGAGATGTGTTATGCACAGATGGTGTATGCCTTTGAGGATGTAATAAATTTGGTGCTGATGTAGGTACTGGCATTAAAGCTTGGACTTGTTCGCTTAAACCAAGCATTTGTGGATATGTAGTTGCTGTGACTGCATTAGGTACACCTAACGTAGGTGTTGTATATGTCGTGGTCACCCTGAAATACAAAAATTATATTATTTTTTACTACTTTATCGAATATCTGTTACTAATTTTAATTTATTTGATTTCTGTCATTAAAGTCTTTAACCTTTTTGGCAATAAATATGAGTGTCTATTAATTTTGTGTGTGTATGTTTATTTTTGTTACATTTTTATATCTTTACATAAATTAATAAAATATTCGATACAATTTCACAAAAACAACACAAGATTTATGCAAATATGGTTAAATTACGTATTACATATATTTACATATTTATGTTTGTACAAATTACAAATATAATTTAATTCAATTTTTAATAAATAAATCCATTTTTTGCAAAATATTAAATTATAAAAATAAAAGATAAAGATTTATATAAAAGCAATTCCTATATACAAGAGATACATAAATATATATAAATTATATATTTCATTAATACGACAAAAGAAATCACTTTTATAAATGGATTTATAATAATGCTGTCAACATTTAATTCATTCATTATGTATTTTAGACATTTTACTCATATTACTCGAAATATCTCTCATTCATCAGGTAGATAGGTAAATAAAACCCTCTGTAAATGATTTCTAGAAAATAATATACACTTTTCAATAATATACTACTATTCAATAAAAAATAGGGAACACTTTCTAACACAAAATTGCACAATATTCAGAACACTATAACTTGGTGAAAAATCATTGCAAACAAAAAATCAAAAAAGCATTTGAAAGCTTGAAATCCCTACTTTCGAAATCGGTAATTGATATTTCAATCTGACTGATCCTTTACGGAGCTATACGGACACAAATGGATATACCCGTCAAATCTGAAAATTTTGTACAAATTTTACAAAGGTCTATCGCGTGAAGTAAAATTCACACAAAAATGCGGTTTACAGCAATCGAAAGAGTGAATCTTTACCTTCAATTTGCTTTTTTTATTGAGCATTGTACGATTTTTTTCACCGAGAATTTTTATTGAAAAATGATTACTTTTGCTTCAATGTTAAATAAAAAAAGCAAATTAAAACTTGTAATAAAGTTTTTATATACAAAAATGATTTGAAGCATTCAAAAGTTAGCTTTAAGCTTTAAAACGTTTATTTCAAACATCGCTTCATAATCATTTTTCGCAGAGATACGTAAACCTTGATTTTGGCTCTTTTAATGCTAATTCTAAATAATCCTTTAACTTCAAGATAGAATAACTTTATCAAAAATGGTCGTAATAAAATTTTTAAAAAAGCATTTTAAAGATTGAAATCTGTACAGCAGACGAAAGAGTGAATCTTTTCCCTCAATTTGTTTTTTTATTGAGTATTATATGATTTTTTTTCATCGATTTTTATTGAACGTTGAAGCAAAAATGATCACTTTTGCTTCAATGTTGAATAACTCAGTGAAAAAAAAATCGTATAATGATCAATAAAAAAGCAAATTAAAGGTAGATACAGATTCATTCTTTCGCTGCTGTAAATCGCATTTTTGTGTAATTTTTACTTTACGCCATAGATCTTTGTAAAGTTTATAAAAAAATTTCAGATTTAACGAATATATCCATTTACGTCCATATGGCTTCGTAAAGGATCAGTTTTCAGATTGAAATATCAATTACCGATTTCAAAAGTGAAAATTTCAATCTTTCAAATGTTTTTTTGATTTTTTGTCTGCGATGATTTTTCACCGAGTTACGGTGTTTTGAATATTGCGCAATTTTGGGCGTGTTCGAAAGTGTTCCCTATTTTTTGTTGAGTAGTGTATAATAAAATATAATACATCATTTTACGTTAGAATCATTGTAAGATACTAATTGTCGTTCGAAGCCTTTCTCATATCGTAAATAAAGTAATTGGCTTTCAATCTTTACTTAGATATATTACACTTACTTAGATATATTACTAAATTTTTTCAGATAATACATATTTCTAGTTGTCTAAATATTTATATATGTACAGACTACTTTGTTTATATATTGACAACAATATAATAAATCATACATTAATTATTATAAAATTTGAAATATTATATAACGCAGATATTGTGTGTGTAAAGTAGATTCATGACTAATGTATTTAATGTACTTAATGTATCACGCAAAGAGAGAGAAGCTTTAAAGACAGTCATGTAAATTAATTATAAATATTGATGTTAGATTTATCTATATGATTTACAGTTTGAGATATAAATTTATGCATGCTATCTTATTTCTTATAATAATCTATATGACAATAGTATATGTTACAAGGACTCACCAGTCATCCTTCCCATAGGTGGGATAACTATACAAAAAAAATCATACGTTGTATGTACAAATGCAGAAAGCTATGGTGCAGATACTCTACATATAACGATTATAATTATGCTTTATATATATATATATATATATATATATATATATATGTGTGTGTAAACATAATGTTTCAAGCTAGGATAAGCATATGGCTTTAATGCTCAATATTTCATGCTCAATGTGCTGTATATAAAAAGTGAAATTTCTTTCTTTCACACATTAACAACAGTAAATCAATTTTATAGAGGTCTCAATATTAAAAAATAATATTACAATAAAACGGGCAAATGAGAGCTATTACACGGTTATTATTTGTGTATATTATTCAAACAACATTTTTATTTATTCTTGATATATACATCAATTAATCGACCTTAATGTACTTCAGACTCCGACGAAGACACATGTCTAATGACTTTTATAGAATTATATAATTTGAGCTGGAAATATTTATAACAGAGAATGGAGGTGCATTTTCTCAGTAAAACCAAACTTAACATTCATAAAATCGATTAAGAAGTTGTTCACACAATCCAATGGGGATTCACTCGAGATTTATAGGAATGCGCCTACATTTATAATAATAGTACTTAATTTTGTTTGTTAATAGTCAGTTTTTTTATCATTATTTTGAAGATGGCTAAAAAGAACAATCGAAACGTCGATTAATTGATTTACATATCAAGAATAAATAAAAATTATTTGAATGACATACACAAATAATAACTGTGTAATAACTCTCATTTACCCGTTTTATTGTAATATTATTTTTTCATACATAATTTATTTGATTAAGAAGAAAAACACTTATTAATCTTTTTTTTTTTTAAATCAAAATTATCTTTTGCAACATACGATTTTTAATTTTTTGTAAACGATACCATACAGAATACAAAATAAATAAATGTGCAACAATTTTATTGAATATTATGTACATTCTATGCTAATTGGTTTGCTTTGTAAGCAAGCGTACAGTATAAAAAGTTGCTAAAAAAACCTTTGATAAAAGAAAAACAAAAATATCTTTTAAATTATTTAAAATTTTGTGAGCTTACAACACATGTATATACGTACTAAGCTATATCAAAAGTTTTTAGAAAATTCTATTGATGCTTACCCGAGATTCGGTTGATTGGAGTGAACAGTTGCTCGTATAAGAGGCGGTGGTTGGACTTGAGCAACCCCTTGCATAGTTGTCGTCGAGTATACCCCAGGATACTGAGCTGCTGCTCCACTACTGCTCCCTCTACTTCTAGACTGTTGAGAATAGCTTTTGGGAGCAGTTGTCATCTGTTGCTAAAAATAAAAAACTGTACATTTTGTCTGGTATACGATATAAACATACTGAACTACAACTAAAAAAATTATCAAGGCATCGCAGACATCGCATATTATAATTTATAATCACGGTTGCCACCTAATTTATAATCCGGTTTTTTAATGAAAACTTTTTGAATGAATCTCCGGCTCTTCACACAAGTGACAGAAAAAAATTTTCAATTAATCACTCAAAATTTTGTCGAGCTTCTTTTCAGATGAGCGATTTTTCTTTCGAAATATATAACAAAATATTTACTAAATCTGTTAAGTTTTCTTTTTCTTTTTTTTTTTTAGAAATCACTCATACAATAAAGACGTCCAAGGATACATTCGAGGAGCGCGCTATCAGCGTCATTTGTATAATACTATCCTTGTTTACGTCTAATGGACAATGAAGATAGAATGATACAAATAGCGCTAATAGCATCTCCCCGAATGTAGTCCAAGAAATGTTCTAAAAGATGTCCCTACACGATTTCCAGGATGTCTCTTGGACGAAGAATACTGTACGAGAAGAAAGTAACGATCTCGGCGGTGATTATCGATTTTCGACGACAGTTTAGCGACATGACCAGTAGAAGAGCCATCGATTTCTCGATTAGTAATAGTAAATGAAAGGTAGCAATGATGTTTACAAGGAGATTAGCTTACGTTGTGCATCACATTGTTCAGAGTCGCTCGTATAATGCTGGCCTGAGGATTGAGTGCCGTTTGAAAGGTAGGTTGACCACCGACGAGGCCTGACCAATGGCCGTTAACCACACCTTGAACGGTATTCAACATAGGCTGCGACACTACCGGCATATTTGATCTACCGGTAGGAAGTCCCGATGGGGAGGAATGCGCGGGGTGCGTCACTACAGGCCTCGGCTGTCCTATTCGTGGCATCTGCGCTGCCGTACTCGCGACAGTCCCCCCTCGTGGCATCATATTAGGCATCGGTACGGTACGCGTGTTTAGAGGTGGTGCCACTTTGTTCGCGCTCTGCACGGAAGGAGGTTTAGTTGCCGGCGGTGTAGGTGGCTGTTTTGTCCATCCACCACCGGTACCGCTTCCGTTGCTGTTCACCAATAACTGTGAGTCCATAACTTTGGTCGGCCAGTAGTCCTCGAAGCCGGTACCCGGTGGAAAGTAACTCTTAATGTCACTCAAACTGATTACCGAACACGTTTCACTCGCAAACAGTTCGTTACGTATACCCTGTACTTTGCAGCAAAATTTCAAATACGACAAATCCCAGCCCTCAAGCTTTTCCGCTTTTAGCTTGAGATTTTCCGTCTCGCCCTCAAAATAAAACAGCGGCACATATTGCAAACTATCCTTTACCGTATAAGGTACTACAGACTCTTTGTTTATTCGTATGAAACCACATTTCTCCGCTTTGCGTCCGCTTGTCACGTTCGGATTGGTACCGGCGGTCAGTTTGGTATAACACACATCGAGAAATGTATAAAATTCCTTGGCGTCCGATAAACGCACCACTAAGTCCTTACACGTAAACACGTCCCTCCCGAATTGATTCTCGCAGTGCTTGGTGTTAATCTCGTTAAACAACTTGCTCTCAGCCTCCGTAATGTAATAACTCCTTATACATGTGCAACTGTAGATGTCCGAATGAAGAAAACTCAGGTACTTGTTGAGAAGCTTAGATTCTAGGATGCGTACGGCGCAATACTTTTCACCGGAGCGAAATATATAAGGTATGTGACATTCGTCGAAGCTCGTCCAACCGAATCGTCCCCGCTGGCTGTCGTCGTCCGGCGTCGGCACTTTACTTTCCAAACCACCACTCGGCGGTTTCGGAGCGGACGATCCATCAGTTGGTCGTTTATGCAGATATCCAAGAATACCGGGAAGATTAGGCTGCGGTATAAGACACTGCTGCCTCTGCTGTTGTTGTTGTACTGCTGGCATGCTCGCCAGCATTTTCGCCTTGTGTGCTTCCACCATTTTGGCAGCCAATTCACGGATTTCCGCATCGTCTGGACGTTCTTGCTTAACGACGACTTTCTCAAAATCTGAAAAAAGAGGACGTATAAGACTTATATTTTCGAAAGTAGTTATAATATTTAACGCTTAATTACTATTATGCATATCGCATCGCGAGAATAATATTACATAAGTGCAAATTATTCAAAAGAATACTTTGAAAAATTTCAATGTTCATTGTGTCTGGAAAACTAACGTTTTTTTATTGTATCATGGAAGTCGAGAATTACATTGCAAGAATGAGTATTATCAGCAAAAGAAGTTCAATCGATAGATGTGCTATTTATAAAATATATTCAATTAGGTATTGCCGACCGATGTTTTTGTAGCATGTATAATAATCCAGTTAAATCTTGTCCCTGGTTATTTATCATGTAAATTTATTAATTGTTATGCGACAACGCATCGTTAAATCACATCCGATAAATCCTAAATCGATTTGCAATTAGTATGTAGGCCGATTTCTCGCGCGCCAATACAAAAATAGCTTTTTTTTGTGCTGACGCTCAGGCTTATCTGTTACGTCACCAACACAAAACTAATCGTAACTAATGTTTATATATTTTAGAAAAAAATCGGTGTTTAACACTATACAATATCTATATAATTCACTATATATTGATATTAATATTAACAGCAACATGATGTAAATTTTAAATCCACGCCATGATGGTGTTGATACAAACATCAGGAGTTAAAAATCCACGTGTTAATATTAACACCAACATGATAAAAATTATATATTACTTATATATAGACACCGCATTATTTATAATTAAAAATTAAATCTATATCAATATTTTTTAGAATGTGTACAGAACTATTAGATGATATAAATTAATGAAGCTAAATTAATCATCAGCTTTTTACGTATATTTCGTAACACGCAACCCTCAGACAATATTAATTGATAAAATTCAGCATTAACTTCTAGTTTTTCATGTGTACTTTGTAATACACTAAATTAACTAACTGTAATTAATTTGATTTAAATAACTTGGAATCGGATGACTTATGGCTTTGTCAATCTTTGAGTTTGTTTTACTGCAATTATTTAAAATTAGTAAACTTTATTGCACATGTTACACATCTATAAATAAACAGAAGAGAATTTCATGTATTATTACTTATTATTCTTTATCTATGAGTTATGGAATTCTGATTGAAAATGGACAAATTAGAATTTTTTTTATTGAATTTATTATAATTCTAGTTGAGACAATCAAAATTCCGATTGATCAGGATCTTCATTTATGATCAAAAAATTATCTTAATGCATCGATTTTCGCCGCGCGACGATCGAAGAATTCAAATTTCGCTCCGCGATCAAATCGATCCGATAGTAATTAAAGCCCCTTCGAGACGTGTCAACACAATCGAGAATACGTCCAGCGTGCAGCGTAAACACGCCGGTCCGTAATGATCGGAGTAACCCCGACGGTGTCAAAAGGAAACAGGTAGGTAAAACTTGTCGCGCACGTGACGCGTCTCGATTGAAGATCCTCGATCGATCCTCGCGCGCGCGCTCGATGACATGCCGCGTCGTGATGACATGATTACCGAGGCATAAACCGCGTAAATGTAAACACTTCTGGCTCCGGCGAGAGACATCGAGAGACTAACGTCGATTCACCGTCGTCTCGCTCGGGGGAGTCCTCCGTGCGACGATTTCGGAGAGTGAGAGATCGCCAGCGAGTGAAATTTTCTGTGCCGCGGGCGTGGAACGTAAAAGAATCTACGATCCTTTTCTCCGATTCGCGCGTGTCAATTGCGTTCGTCAGCACGGAGGAGACTCCGTAAACGAAACTGAAACTCGCATTCTCGAGTCCCACGATCACGGCACGCGCGAACGGGACGTGTACGAAGGAGAAACGTACTCAGTGACATTCGTTCGGGTGCCATCCGCGACGGACTGCTCTTCTCGAGCCATATGGCGTCCGTGCTGCTGTCGGCACTCGCGACCGGTATGTCGGTGAAGCCGTTCCTCATCCTCGACGCTCGAGAGGGTCACCCTTGAATTGAATAGCTGCGAAATCACATTTCGCAGTGCAGCTGAGACGATCCCGTCACGCCACAATGTTCCCTCTGTTGAGAATCTAACATGCAGCAGCAGCAGCAGCAGCAGCAGCAGCTTCGTCCGTCCACCTACGCGCACCGCCGACGGTATCGCGCGCAATCCATGTTACACGACAAAGAGGAGAGGAGCGGAAGGACGAAAATGACGTATCAGAGAATTGTGATCCGTATAATCCGTAGCACAGGAAAGTCGTGTCTTCTAGTCGTCCCCTCTAGTCGGTACTCGCGTCGACTCTCGCAGTTTTCACGCTTTCCTTCGACGACGAGGACGACGACGACGACGACGACGTCGTTTCACTTTGTGCGCCGACACTCTTATACCAGGTGGCGCGAAAGATTCTCATCATCGTTACTAACCCACCGCCGCCGCCTCCACACCGACACCAGCAGCGCGCTGCCGCCACCACCACCACCGCCACCACCACCACTACTATCGCGCTCGATACGTCGAGGGTAAAACAGGGGAAGAACGGGATGTAGATGTACATACGTAGAGACGGTATCGCTCCACCGCCGACTACGTACATACTCGTCGTCCGGGCGTAGCTCCGCGAACCACCGGAGCTGTCCCAAAGACCGCGACACTCTCAAACGAGGACAGCGCCATGCTATCGCGCGCGCGCGCGCGTTCCCGGTCTTCGGTGCGAAACCTCGATTTCAGGCTGTACGGCGACGTGCTGTCGATCGAGTTGCTGCTCGACGACCCGCGGCTCCGCGGGGATACTCGGCATCTCCTAGCACGGTCTAGACCGCGTACATAGTTACATACGTCTACGCGAGCGGCAATCTCTGCTCTCTGCGCGGACTGTACTGAATGTACATACAACGCTAGCTAGATATCAAGCTCGCGCTCTCTTCGCCAGTGTCGTCCTCGGCGGCTCGCGCTCGAACCGGCCTCGGTATTCCTGGGATTAAAGCGCGCGGGCACCTCCTCCTCGGCTCCTCGCCCGATCCGTCGCGTCGCGTCGCGGCGCGACGCGACGCCTCGCGTCCGCTGTCGACGACGGTCGACCGCACGGCAGTGACAGCGCGACGTCCCGCCGAACGTGCCGACGTCGTCTCCGAAGATGTGTTCCAATACTCTGATATTGATACTTGACGCGTATACCGATCGATCAGTGGCCAGTCCATTTCCGGAAGTGACGCGTCGATACTCTGTACTCATATTAATGTGTACAGAGAATCGAATTGTGTATCTTGAAATAACAAAAGTGAAAATTACAAAAGTGAGCATATTCGTTAAATAATAAAGTATAATTTCATTGGTATTTCATATTTAATGAAATACTTTGCTCACTTTTGTAATTTTTTTCATTTCATTTCAAGATATACAATCAATCCCCAGAGATTCGATTGTGTGTCACACAGCTTAATGAAAATGGAGCAACAAAAGTGAGCAGATGCATCAATTAATTACAAACTATAACAATCATTCCAATGAAGTCGCCTATTTTTATTGTAATGTTCACCTCACAATCGAATCTCAGGGGCCGTGTTCTCGGAAAATGTTCTCGCATAAAATGTACGAAAATACTATACACAAAATAGTATATATATATATAAAATAGATTTCACTAGAATATTCGGTACACCTACTATTTTTTAAGAATAAGTTGTCTCCGAGGCAATTGCTAGGAAGTTCGAAAGGTGTCTATACTTTGTGTACGACGCGCAAAGCCTTTTGCGATCGATAGATTTCACGTAAATCCCAAGTCTCAATCGTACGCAGAATGTTATTCTCGTATATAGAAGGCAACAGAGAAAGTACACGCGGAATGAAACCGAATTATCGATCTCACGTGGATTCTATTAATTTTAGATATTGAGCATGTAAACTCTGTGGATGACGATTAGAATGACCGTGAATAAATGCTCTCTTACAATATTCGTATATTTTCCATGATTGAGTCCTTCGCTTCGAAAATTTTTGGACGATTGTACAATCTGTACAATTGATACTGAGTGCTTTCCATTTGATGACACAAGTCGACACAAGTGTCGTTCTATAACGACGTGTCATCAAATGCAAAGCATCCATTATAAAATTTTGAATTGTAGATAAAAAAAATTTCAATTCTTCTTCTATCAATCGCCGTAAAACCTGTATCAGACTAGAGATTGATAATGAGCTTGAATTTGATCAATCAAAGTAAAGCTGATATTTATTATTAGTTTTCTTTCTTCTAATTGGTTAATTTCAATCTGCAGTCTGAACGGCTTAAGACGGAAGTCTATTTGCATTTTGTACTTCAAACAGGATGCTTTAAAATTTAAATAAATTTAGTTTTCTTTAACTGTAGTTGAGAGTCAAGCTTAAGGAAGATTTTTGTAAATGACATTATCACCGTTAAATACGCTTGTGGCTTGAGAGAGATAGTCCATAATAATAGAATTATAAACGATTTATAAAGAAGTAGAATCGCATCTCGAAACGACATTCTAAAGATGTCCCAAAAATACCGTATCTCTTAAGGACATTCCCAGGATGTTTCTTAGATAAAATATACTATGTGAAATTATAAAATATTTGAAGCGACGATCTGTGCTGTATACACAGAATAAACCAATTGCTTTTAATATTTGTTTTTTGCCTAAAAGAACGAAAAGAAACTAGAGAAGTAGAATGATAAAACAAGCCACGTTTAGCATATACAGGACAATTCCATACGTCATTAGAAGTTTATTATTGAATATAGGATTAGAAATTGGCTATAGATTGGCTAACTTTATGCCCATACTGTCGTTGCCTCACATTACAATTTTTTGTACTATCCTGGAAAAGATGCTATTTCATCACTTTTGCAATAAACGTATCAAACATTCGACATATATTAATTCTTAAAAAAAAAAAAAAGACCTCTTTCATTTGAAGCGTGAACATTTCACTTTGGTCGTAGTGCCTTAGATTTTCTGAGAAGCTAAGGGGACGATGAGGGCGGAGAGAGACGTGCGA